GCATTCTCACATAGGTATCCCTCTTATCTAGGTGGGGGAGGGCAGTGTGGAGAGCAATTGAGATTGTGTCATCTATGGATCTGTTAGGGTGGTATGCAAATTGGAGTGGGTCTATGGTGGAGTGAATGTGTGCCATAACCAGCCTCTCAAAGTACTTCATGATTACAGAGGAGAACTCTACATGGCGGCAATCATTCTGGCATGAAGCCTTAGAGTTCTTAGGAAGAGGGATGATTGTGGTCATCTTAAAACATGTGGGGATTACAGACTGGGACAAGGAGAGGTTGAAAATTACTGTGAATATGCCTGCCAGCTGTTCTGCTCATACTCTGAGAATGCGCCCTGAAATACCTTCGGGGCCCACGGCCTTGCGGGTGTTGACCTGATTAAAGACCCTTCGGCCTCAGAGAGCAAGATCACCCAGTCCTCTGGGTCGGTGATGGCCCTCACACCCAGCTCGATGTTGTTGTCAAATCATGCATAAAATGCAATGAGTTAATCTGGTAGAGAGGCATCGTTGGGTTAATCACGGTTGGGTCTTCCATTGTAATCCGTAATGGACTGCCACGTGCAGCGGGCGGCGGAGCCTGTGTAATATGATTCCACCTTATTCCTATATTGTCCCTTTTCTCGTCTGATGACTCTGCGGAGGTCATAGCGGAGGTCATATTCAGATAGAGGATCAATGATAGCTGTCAGTATTATTCAGATAGAGGATCAATGATAGCTGTCAGTATTATTCAGATAGAGGATCAATGATAGCTGTCAGTCTTATTCAGATAGGATCAATGATAGCCGTCAGTCTTATTCAGATAGAGGATCAATGATAGCTGTCAGTATTATTCAGAGAATCACCTTTGGATGCACTCTCTAGCAGTCATTTGACCGGAGAGATGGTAAGGTGAGGTCTCTTGTGTGTGTGTGTGTGTGTGTGTGTGTGTGTGCACGCGTGCGTGTGTGCGTGCGTGCCTGTGTGTGAGGCCAACTGACTTCACGTCCTGGTTTAATTATTTAAACATGTGATAGTGATGTTGGATTTCACAGTATCATGGTCCACTCATGGGGGTCACAGAAGGACGTAATGTGATTTAATGCCTGTTCCACTGACACACAGATCAAATGATCTGGTTTATGGCAGTGACCTCCAGGTCTAGCATGCTTCCTAGGCCAATTCTCTTTAATAATCAAACCAAACAACACACACACACAAAAAACACACATACACATATACACACACGAATGTGTACACACACTCACTCTCAAACTCTCTGACACACACACATAAACACACACACAGCTACATAATAATCATATTGATCGGGATCAGCCAGCCTGAAAGGTCTCTTTCCAAGAATCAGAACCATATTCATCCTGAATCAATCTCCAATTATTGGAGCACATTGACATTCTCAATCCATAGAATAAATATGCTGCCTCATGTAGGGCTGGCACGGTAATTGTACAATCATGTAACCAGCGATTATGGATGAAGATCGTCATGGAAATAAAATAACTGTCATAACCGTTTTAATACATTCATTTTAGAAACATTTGACAAACTTGACCAAAAAGCAGTCAAGTAAAAGTAAGCCTGGTTCACATCTAACAGCCGAGATAAGGAGAGACGAGAGGAGACCAAACTAAGAGCTGACTGAAGATTTAAAAAGGGAAGATGTGCAGTTTTTGCTATATGAACGATTGTAACGATGGATGTGGTCATTTGGCTGACAAATAACCGTGATCCATAATTCCATGACCGTTACAGCCCTAGCCCTATGAGGCTTGTACATACTGTAATATTTCTCATCGCTTTATCGTTTCCTTCATCACTGGAGATAGGAGAAGACTGGGTGTGTGAAAGCCATATAGCCATTATTGCTATACCACCGTAAGTCAAATATACATTTTCTTTCCAGTTTGATATTAATCATAAAGTAATGACTAGCCATCCAAACACACAGCATATGCACTGACCTCGTTTTATATGAATGGATGCTCCCTTCCTTTAGAATAAATCACGGTTAGTTATATAAGCGGGAGAGGGCAAATGAACCATAATCTTGTTGTTTGTCCAGGCATCCAATACAACCTCCTTGACTTGGGCCCTGAGGGACCAGACAGATGTACTGTCTATCGGCTTCATTGAATAGCGAGTATGACCCTTAACAGTTCCGTACTGCACTGGGCTAAGTGTATTGGACTAACAATAGCCCCACTGTCAAAGTACAGTAGCTGATGTTACTATACAATGCCAGGAGCAAGGAGAGGCTTCCTAAAGAGAGTCTGTAGGCCAACTCACTGCTGCCATTCTAACATCAGATTTAATAATAATAATAATAATATGCCATTTAGCAGACGCTTTTATCCAAAGGGACTTACAGTCATGCGTGCATACATTATTTTTTTTTTGTGTGTATGGGTGGTCCCGGGGGATCGAACCCACTACCTTGGCGTTACAAGCGCCGTGCTCTACCAGCTGAGCTACAGAGGACCAAAGCTTGACTTTGGCTGTGACTGGTTTACCTCTTTATAAAGACAGAACAATAAAGACTGATTATTTCATTGGTTTTGGTCGATTGATTACTTTGTCAACCCATTGGTTTGCAGATTAATTGATTGATTGATTGATTGATCGATCAATCTACGGAAGCCAGAGAAAACCATGGGATATTGACAGAATCACTCTTGATAAACAAAATATTTTATTCACCCCTTTGGATGAATAACACAATGTAGATATGGAAAGGAACTTTATATAAGATGAGAATTTCCAGCTGTGAGAAAGACACCATAGTAAGCACCCATCACACAAATTTAGACCTCCACCAATGGACTGTATGTATGGTATCATTTAAAAGCCTTGAGCTCCCTCTTCTGGTTCAAATCACAGCAGCATCTTACTCCTAGACCGAGATCAATGTTTCTCAACCTACAGTCTGTGGACCGGTGCCAGTTTGTGGGATGTTGCTGACTGGTCCCTGAAATGTTTTACTGATACTAATTTAGTAAGTTCTACAGTTAGGTTTAATATAGGAGGAAAAGCCCAAGCATGCTGATCCCAGACACACGAGGGACCATAGCCAGTCCCAGACACGAGGGACTGCATGGCCAGTCCCAGACACACGAGGGACTGCATGGCCAGTCCCAGACACACAAGGGACCGCATGGCCAGTCCCATACACAGGAGGAACCATAGCCGGTCCCAGACACACAAGGGACTATAGCCAGTCCCAGACAGATGAGGGATCGCATGGCCAGTCCCAGATACTTGAGGGAGCATGGCTGGTCCCAGACACACGAGAGACCATAGCCAGTCCCAAACACACGAGGGACCGCATGGCCAGTCCCAGACACACGAGGGACTGCATGGCCAGTCCCATACACATGAGGGACCAGAGCCAGTCCCAGACACACAAGGGACCATAGCCAGTCCCAGACACATGAGGGACCACATGGCCAGTCCCAGACACACAAGGGACAATAGCCAGTCCCAGACACATGAGGGATCATAGCCGGTCCCAGACACATGAGGGATCATAGCCGGTCCCAGACACATGAGAGACCATGGCCGTCCCTGGAACAAAAAAGGTTGCGAAACACTGTTCTAGATTATGAGAGTTGAAACAAAAGGCAGTACAATAAAATGTAATTTTGCCAGCATGGATTCAACAAACGACATGCCGGGGTTAGATGCACTGGTCAGAGACATAGATAGATAGCCTAAGATACAGCCTGCTGTACAGCCTATCCTCAGCTGTAGATGTTTTTGGTGCACATTTTCCCCCCTACACTCTAGGAGTAATACATCTAGCTGTTTCAAAGATCTTGTCATCTTGATCTTCATGCTTTTACCTGAGCCCTGTATTTACTCCCATTTGAAATGGCAGATCCAAGAACAAAGGAATTGGGTTATCCTAAATGCTTTTAACTAGGTAGCTAATACTACATTGATCCAAATCACTTGAAATTACATATGTTGCTGTTGATAACCAAGTTACCTGTACCATGAATCTGATGTTACATCACACACAGAATGGGTAAAACAGACATGTATGAAGCTGAAGCATCCATTTAGAACTGTAAGTTGATTTTTGAATATCATTTTTTTACTCAATGGAAACACAAACAACATCAACAATAACTACATCCATTCATCCCCCTTTTAAAAAATCACAAACCACCACTCCCCTCCCAGTATCCTAAAAAACAAGTTTCCATCCCCGACTTTCTATTTTTAATAAAGTTATTTACCGCTTTCCCCATCCCAAGTCCCATTACCCTAAACCGGGTTCGTATCCTATTCCCAACCCTTCACTTTAAACCTAAACCCTTACCCTAAACCCAACCCCTCCTCCTAAAAATTTTTTTGTATTATTATTATTATACATTTTTTTTTTTACTTGACTTCTTTACACATTAATTCCATTAAAGTTTGTTTTAATCAAATCAAGTTGAGGAACAAAAAAGGAGATCTCCACCACCCCTTCTACCTTGTACCTTGCCAAACCTGACCTTCACCAGACCGATACATGGAGAAGAGGGATAGAAGAGGGCATGAAGCCCTGCGATGTCACTACTAATACCAAAATTCGTCGCTCAAGAACGTTTTCTCACCACCAAATATGGTAGTGAGAGGAAGTCCAGTCGCGGATAGTGGGTGAGATGGAACTAGGTGAAAGTGGGCCGACGTTCTGCTAATTTTCTCATCGATGAAACATCTGATCTCAATTTTTGTTCCCTAAATCTGTTACGAACATAGTGCACTACGTTTTATAGACTTGACGCTTTGCCAAAGTTTAAAATAATTACGTTGTTTAGAAGGAGTGCAAGGTCGAATTGAGTTTGCGCACACGCGCATTTCACAGAGGAGGCGTTCCCTAACATAAATATGCAAATATATTATACAACGCACCAATAGGATCTCGCTAGCTCGTGATTGGCTTTGCCCGAGGTGGTGCTTGTTCTGCACACTATGCTTCATTTACTTCCACTGTAAAAGACACAGATGAAGTATCTTGGGTTAGTCATAAGTATCTTTGGTTACATCCTCTGCAAGAGCGGACGTGCTGTGTGACGTGTAGAAGGGGCGGAAGGGGATGTTTGTGTTTTGGTCCTAAATGGGAAGTTGCAAGAAGAAAGAAAAAGGAGGAGACGTGATCTGGGTTGTTTAAATTAATTGTAGGTTTAACAATACGTATCCGTACTGCGCCCTTTAATTTGTTTATAGACTGTCGTGGTGGTATTCTATGTTCACTAACACCGCCTATCTCTCAGGTATAGTCGAAATGATGTGACAAGTTGTGGATTTCAGCTCGTTAGTTGTCAGCTGGCTAGCTAACTTGCTATGCTAACATTACATGTCTGATGAGAAACGCAAAAATAGGCCGCGGCTCCGACTTGGGAAGGACTCTAACGTTAGCTAACAAAGGGTTTGTCAGTTCAAAGTTCTGACTTAAACAGTGTTCATAATAATATATATTGGTTGTTTGTCCTCGTTTTGTTGATCATGACGGATATCGGCTCGTCATACGCTTCTGCTTGCTAGCTATCTATCTTCTTGAAAATGTAGCTTGCTAGCCAGCCACCTCCATCATCATCACACATTCGCATTCTGACTTGTTTTGCTAGTTTGCCACCCAGTTAACGTTATCTAGCTAGCTGCTTAGCAAGACGGTCAGCAATCAGGTAGCTAGTATGTAACGTTAGCTAGCATACGTTAGCAATTCTGATGTTGATGTAGCTAAAGATAGCTAACGTTAGTTGGGTAAGCGTTTGCTTCTATTTGGAAAAATGGCGTCCTCTCAATTTTCCAGCAAGCTAGCTACGAAAATAAAGCAAAGAGTAGCTCACGTTAGCTATACTAGTAGCTAGTTAACTAGCTTGGAAATTTGATTTATCCATGCTAGCATGGATTCATAACAGTGCTGGTTGAGTTCCCACCTTGAAGGCAACAGCCAGTACAGCCCGTTGCTGTCAGCCTATTGCGCATGTTTATCTTTTAGCTTGTCGCTATTAGATGTAGCTAGGCATTGGCAAATCCATTTACATTGGAAGGCATTCTTAAAACATCACTGCAATGCCTTGCCCGTAAGCCTGTATGCGATTGTAAATGTCACCTTGCTGAGTAGTGTTTTCCTCTTATGACAAATGATGTGTGTGAGAATTGGCGAGCTTGATGTACATTTGTCATTTGAGGGGTACAATTTCAGCTCCTAGACTGAGAATGTTACTTTGTGTACCCACGGGGCTTGGATGGTTTTGATTGGAAACGCATATGGGAAGTTCAGAGCCATATCATGCTGTCTTTTTACTACTGCCAACATGAAATATTTCCATATTAGGCACACGACCTCTGTCAGTTACATTTGAACTGGGAAAATATCTGTCAGTTCAGCTCCTTCTCTGTGATATACCACTCTGAGACTGGTCAGCTAGCTAGGTTTGACTGGCAGTGTGGCAAGGAAAGGGGGGGATACCTAGTCAGTTGCATAACTGAATGTATTCAACCTTTCCGTTACTGGCCCAACGCTCTTAACCGCTAGGCTACTTGCTGCCCCAACCATGTTTATTTTTCTGCATGTTTTTCTCTCGCTCTTGTCCAGTGGAGACAGGAGAATCTATCCATTGTCTAATTCCTTGAGGAAGGAGGGAAAGAACATGTCCAGTCAATTATGTAGTTAATCACTTTAATCCACAAATTAATGTTTTTTTTGGGCTAAGTAGATTTTTTTGTGAGGCGTGTCTGGACTCAGATATCAAGGTTTCTTCCTCTTCTCTTTTGAGAAGCATGTCCACCCCTGACTCACTCATAGAGGATGTAGACTTAGGCCAGGGTAAAACTACGCATGTCAAAATGACTTTATGAAAACATCCTTATCTCTACTTCAAAACACCCTTATCTCTAACAGACCTGACATAGCCCTAGTTAAAAATATAATCAGAGTCACATCAATCATTGTTTTTCCTCTATCACCTCCTCCAGCTGAAGCCCTGACGTGCGGGACAGACACTGACCGGGGTATCTGACTAGGTCATGGCCAACAGGGGAGGAGCTACGAGACCCAACGGGTCTAATGCTGGGAACAAGATCTGCCAGTTCAAGTTGGTGCTGCTGGGGGAGTCGGCGGTGGGAAAGTCCAGCCTGGTGCTCCGCTTCGTCAAGGGCCAGTTCCACGAGTTCCAGGAGAGCACCATAGGAGGTGACTTACGACTGCACTCATTTATGCACTTAAGCCTGCTTTTTACAGTTCACGTCTATTATGTATTTGACATCTCTCTCTGCTCTCCTCCCCAGCGGCCTTCCTGACTCAGACGGTGTGTCTAGACGACACAACGGTGAAGTTTGAGATCTGGGACACAGCTGGACAGGAGCGCTACCACAGCCTGGCGCCCATGTACTACAGAGGGGCGCAGGCTGCCATCGTGGTCTACGACATCACAAATGAGGCAAGTGGTGTCATGATGTAACTTATGCAACCTTCCTTCATCAAAATGATCATTGATCTCACATATTTGGATAGGTGGTCACACTTGTTATTCCCTCATGCTGGATTATTCACATAGCTTTGGAAGTTGTGAGTACCATGTCTCTTGTCTCCAGGAGTCATTTGCGCGGGCCAAGAACTGGGTGAAGGAGCTGCAGAGACAAGCCAGCCCCAGTATTGTCATCGCTCTGTCAGGCAACAAGGCTGACCTCGCCAGCAAGAGAGCAGTCGACTTCCAGGTGAGCCCTCCAAACGCCTTTACCTGTCTGGTGTCACTAGAACACACCGGTGTGTGTGTGTGTGTGTGTGTCTGAGTTTGACAGACAGTGGTTGTTTTCCCAGGATGCCCAGTCTTATGCAGACGACAACAGCTTGCTCTTCATGGAGACGTCGGCCAAGACGTCTATGAATGTGAACGAGATATTCATGGCTATTGGTAGGTACCTCTCACCCCGTGATCTGCATCACTTTACTGATCTATAATTTAATAGGGCCCTGCACAAGCAAATGCTCTAATACATACATGTTTTGATCTAGTGATCTTCATCAGTAGCTGGCATTTGTGAAGTTGTTTTATTGTTTTCCCTCCGTGCTCTAGCAAAAAGATTGCCCAAGAGCGAGCCTGCAGCCGCTGGAGCTAACAGCGGGCGGAACAGGGGCGTCGACCTAACGGAAGCCGCCCAGCCAACCAAGGCCCCCTGCTGCAGTAACTAATGCGAAGCCCCACCCCCCCCCCACTTCAGTAACTAATGCGACCAATGCCCGACTGCCGCTGCAGTAAACTAATGCGACGTTTTTTCAGAGTTGTTCATCGGAATTATGGATGCATGTATCACTACAAGGCCTAACATGATGATGATAAAAAATATCTGTTTTAACTTTTCAGTGGCACACAAAACATCTTAGAGTGAGAAGAGGAGTGTCTCCAAAAACTCTGACAGTAAAAAGAGAGGGAGAGACAAGAAGGGAAGAGGCTCCAAAGGTTTGTTAGGGCTAAATCATCACGAAGCTAAAGAAAATACTGTTTAGCAGTGGACTTGGGTCCCTGCTAGTTTCTCTCTCTGTTGATTCCTTTGTCTGTCTGCCCTCGTCTTTCTCTTGCGTAACGTATTCATATGCTTTCCCAACTAAACCTTTAGTAGCGCTAGTGTAGAGTTGCTCCCCTTTCTCTCTCCTGGCCCCATCCCAGGGCCTTGCCTGCTTCTATCGTTCAGTCCCAAATCAAACCTTAACTAACTCCTAAACCAGGGGTGTCGAACTCATTTTGCCCCGGGGGCCTCATTCGGTCTTCAACAAGGTCTGAAAGGGCCGCACTGAAAATGTCTTATTTCCTTGCCGCCATCGTTTTGGAAATGTTCTATTCTCCCTGACTGTCTAGTGATTATTAGCCAGCTGGACAGTCAATAAACTGTATGCATTTAGGTCCATTGACTGTGCACAGTTATTATCAGTGCGCTGGACAGTGAAGAAACTGTATGAATATGGGTCCATTATCATTTCTACACAGTTTCAACATTTTTATTTTGCCTCCAGACCCCTCCCCATCCTGATGGTTTCTGTTCGAGGGAGGGGATGATCCTGATCCATACGGGCTACGATTTCAGCTGATGTTTGTTATGTCTCGACATGTAATGGATGAGATTAGGTCATGGTTCAGGTTATGAGGCCTATTACCTGTCCAGGTGTAAACAAGGTGCTGGTTGGAAGGCAGCTGTTTTCCTCTAGGAGAGACATGGGAGCATGGTGAGGTGACCTCTGTAGGTGTCATTAGGAATCAGATGACACTAGGGCCCTGGCAGCGTCCCAAATGGCACCCTATTCCCTATGTAGTGCACTACTTTTGACCAGGGCCCACATCCCAAATGGCACCCTATTCCCAATATAGTGCACTACTTTTGACCAGAGCTCGAGCCCTGGTCAAAAGTAGTGCACTACATAGTGAATAGGGTGCCATTTGGGACGTCTCTCTCTCTTTGTCACGGTCACTGAGATCGGTCACTATTCATCCCCTGTTCTATAGGAAGTCTGTCTGTATGTGTACAGAGGGGGACTGGACTGTCTGGTGATAAAATATCCTCAAGACAACAAACACACATGACACACACACACACACACACAGCATGCACACACACAGTCAGACACAGGTTTATTTCTCTCCCAACCCTCCTAGACCTAAATACCGTAATATAACACACACACACACACACACACCTAACCACAAGCTAAAACATGGCTCGCTCACACACATACACTTTTGTGTTATTTTTTAACTCTGGACCTGTTACACACAGTATAAAAAAAACATACACACAACCCCCCCCCCCCAACCCCTCCAGGTCTGTCTTCCTCATGCCTTGCACTAATGACGCTCATGAATATATCTTGTCATAATTACAGCCAGTGTGATATATATATATATATATAAATAATATACTGTAAATAGGGTGTTGCAATGTAGTCTACTTTTTCGATTTACAATTGACAGGACTAATGCTTGCTAGGGAGTTGTCTAGATAATCATTAAACAAAACAAAAAACTGTACAGAAAAACGCTTTGGTATGGGTTTGGAGTGATGTTTTTTTTTCACACACAAAAATCAATTCTAATCGATGGTGGTCTTTATAAATGTATGTAGTATTATTAACAAAAAAATGTACTTGCATTTCTTTAGTGGTCTGTCTTATACTTTTTTCTCAAGAAAAACAGAGGATTTTTTTGGTTTTCTATTTTTTAATATTCTCTTTCCCATTTCACTTATTATTTTGTTAGCGATCTAAAGCTAATATGCCCTGTCGAATACTCCTTGTCCTACTAGAACTGAACTCGCACACAATACACTGTCTGGGTGTAGAATCCCTGTTGGATCATTGCGGGAACAGATCGGATTGACAACTAACCGTCCGCCCGTCTAATAACGTCTCAGTAAGAATGTAACAACGTTGTAGGAACAATGTAACAACAACAGTAGTAGTAGAAGAAGAAATAAAGACGGTTCCGTTCTACTGTTGGGGTACTGGCTGGTGGATCATGATGAATAAATGAATTAACTCCTAGGGATGTACATTGTTTACATTGTTGTTGCTATGGACAGTTAATTGCAGATGGAAAATATTAACAAATGCAAGCATTTTACAGGACTGCTAAAAGATGACCAAATAAATACAGAAATAAAATTGATAATTTATATGATATGGAGGTTGTATTGTGTGTGGAGTAAAATATTTGGTTTTAAGGTTGTTTTCAGGTGTTCCAGTTACTCTTGCTGTACTCTGTGTGGGGTAAAGAACCCCTACCACTCCGCCTGAGGTCTCCATTGAAGTCATGTTCTATTTCTCTGACCATTTGCCGCTTTTAAAACAACCGGGAACTCGGAAAAAAACGAGCTCCGACTGAGAAAAATCGTTTTGAACAGTCATACAACTAGGAATTCCACGTAGGACACTCGGGCATCTTTCTAGAGCTCCGACGTCATGATTTGACCTCGTTTTTTCCCCGAGTTCCCAGTTGTGTTGAAAGCACAATTTGACCCCTCAGCTTATCAGACCTGTGTCCTCACCCTGGCACTCAGAAAGCAGCTCAGACAGTTTACAGACAATGATTTAACATTTAGCTACACGTGTAACTACAAGGCCTATTACATTATTGTGGTATTTGTACTGCGGACATAATCAGGAGCATCTTTTGTCTGCCCTTCCCATTCCCAGGCCTACTTTTTTGCCTATGACAGTTTCTGACTACATTGTCCCTGCTCGTTACATTTGACCTTGAAATTATCGCTACAAATGGTACATTTTTTTGTGACCTCTCCCCTGATTCATAGCCTACTGGAATACCCATTTTGTCTCCCCTAGTGGAGAAAAAACGGATCTACAATGACAAATAAAAAAGTAGGGATGAGCGCCATGTCTGATTCTCCGGTAGTGGAATAGAGAACGGGACACTTAAACGTTTTAGCTCCAGGGTCGGGGATCGCGTTCGGTCTCGGTATCGAGGATGTCCGAGAGCGCAGGGGTTCAGCAGGGCTCCCCGGCCATCGGTGCGGCGGGATCGGCTCCTGCGGCTCCGGGAGCCGGGGGAACGGAGGGTTCGGGCGCCACCGTAGGATCGGCACGAATCGCTGTGAAGAAGGCGCTTCTCCGCTCCTCCCCGCGCCCTAAGAAACTGGAGAAGCTCGGAGTGTATTCCTCTTGCAAGGTAGTTTGTCGTCCATTTATTACATTATTTTGCAATTATTACATATTTTGCAATGTTTTGCAAGTGGATTGTGTTTCAGATGCTTGTTGGTTTGCAGTGCTGCCAAAATGCAAGCGCAGTAAAGGAAGCCATTGTCGCACTCAAATATTTTTTCTCATATCCCTCATTCTTTAGTTATGCAAAATGTTCCTTTTGCTAAATAATATCAGGGACAAAAAACGGCAACATGTTCAGTATGGCGCTCCCATATTTACTATTACAATGTTTCTTTTGTAGGCGGGAGAGTGGATTTAAACAATCTCTTGCGCTTTGACAAATTCAGGTTAGCGAGAGGCTGCGTGGTGGTGCGTAGCCTTAATGCCTTCAAGCTACGGGAGTGTAATTCAACCCACTGGAAAAGTGACAGTGTTGTTGCTGTCTGTCAGCGTAGCATTGTAAAATATTAAGTATTTATTTCGTTTAAATATCTTCTGCAAGGAGAGACAGCGTCTTTGTTTTGACAGGGTGACAGCTGCTGGGGGCGGAGTTTGTTGTTGTTCATCGGCGCATGTTCCTGTGCGCAGCTCCAGCTGAAAATAAGAACAGATTTGTAGCACTTGTAATGAGAAGGCTGTCCCACAGGCGCGGACTAGCTATGCATTTTAGTCATTTAGCTTTAGCAGATGCTCTTATCCAGATCAATTTACAGTTAGTGCATCCATCTTAAAGGGAAAATCCACTAAAAAACTACTAAAATATCGTTTTTGAGTAGATTTTCCCTTTAAGATAGCTAGGTGAGACAACCACATATCACAGTCATAGTAAGTACATTTTCCTCAATAAAGTAGCTATCAGCAGAGTTAGCGCTAGTATGCCACTTGTTTACCAAGCTGTCTGTCACTTGTCAACTTATGAGGATATCAGAGAAGTTAAAGAGGTTAAACACGTAATAGCATGTGTGTGTGTGCTTATATGGCTTTATAACCCTTGTGACCCTGTGCTGTAGGCTGAGGGGGCCTGTAAGTGTAACGGCTGGAAGAGCCAGAACCCCCCTCCCACACCACCCCGTACGGACCAGCAGCCAAACACTGTCAACCTACTGGAGACCTGCCGCAGTTGTTCCCACACACTGGGTAAGACTAGGGGGAGAGAGGACACATTAGGAGGAGTTCCCTGTGTACTTAAGGGGGAGAGAGGGTCAGAGGGGGGACATGGGGATGGGGTGCTACTGCCTTGTGTACCAGAGGAAGAGGAGGGGGGACAGAGAGCACAGGGTGGGTCCTGATGGCAAGCAGGCAGGCAGGAGAGTGAGTTGAGGTTGTAAGGGCATGGTACAGGCAGATGTAATGTTCTAGAAAAGCCAGGTAATAAGCAGGTCTTCAGAAAAACAAAAGAAAGTATGTCCTCTCGATCTCTCTCTCTTTCACTGTCTCTCCCTCTCAGGTGACCATGTGACCCACCTGGAGAACGTCTCAGAGGAGGAGATGAACAGGCTTCTGGGTATAGTCCTGGACGTGGAGTACCTGTACACATGTGTCCACAAAGAGGAGGACGCAGACACCAAACAAGTCTACTTCTCCCTCTTCAAGGTAGGCCACAGTTCAACATGTCAACGAAAGATTACTTTCAGTGCATCGGTATCACAATTTCTTCTTTCTCCTTCAGCTGTTGAGGAAATGCATCCTACAGATGGGCAAACCTGTGGTGGAGGCACAGGAAAGTCCTCCCTTTGAGAAACCCAGCATCGAACAGGCAAGTGCACACACACACACACACTGAGGAAAAGAGACACATTTAGATCAGACTTCCACAAGATGTACACATTATATGTTGTTTACATGATCTCTGTGTCACTTCAACAGGGGGTGAATAACTTTGTCCAGTACAAGTTCAGCCATCTTCCCTCCAAGGAGCGTCAGACCATCGTGGAGCTGGCCAAGATGTTCCTCAACCAGATCAACTACTGGCAGCTGGAGACGCCCTCACAGAGACGACAGCGGGTGCCTGCTGATGATGCTGCTGGGTACAAAGTCAACTACACTAGGTAGCAGGCACCCTTTGATGATGCGATCGCAAGTACTGGCAGGCGCACTTTGATGATGTGTTCACAGTCTTGACATGTTTATACCTACTGCACTGACCACACTGTGGGCTGGCTTCATGCTCTTAATGCTTATGGAGGTGCCCAGTGCCCACCTTCATTTCTCAAACATCGGGTACTGTAGCTCTGGTGTGTTTAGTGCCCAGTACCCCCAGCCACTCCCGTAACTTGAACCTTGGTACCAACAGATGCACTGTCCTCCTAGAGTTGATGAAAACCTCTTCATACCAATAGATGATGCACACATTTCATTCAAATTGTATCACCGTTACTTATAGCCCATAATCAATGTTTTTATCCCAGATGGCTGTGCTACTGCAATGTCCCCCAGTTCTGTGACAGTCTACCACGGTATGAGACGACCCAGATCTTTGGTCGGACCCTGCTGGGCTCAGTCTTCACTGTGATGAGAAAACAGCTGCTAGAGCAGGCCAGGCAGGAGAAGGATAAGTTACCCCCGGAGAAACGCACTCTCATCCTTACACACTTCCCCAAGTAAGAGACACACTCTCACACACGCACACAGGCACTCACACACACACACACACACACACACACACACACACACACACACACACACACACACACATACACACATACACACACACACACACACACATGAGGTAGAGGAGGATTTCTAGTCTCTGTCTACAGTAGGTGTGATGATGATATCTGTGTGCTGTAGATTCCTGTCCATGTTGGAGGAGGAAGTGTACAGTCACAGCTCTCCCATCTGGAGCGAAGACTTCCTGGTTGGATCCTCAGGAGGACAGATCGCCATCCATACAGGTAAACACACCTGACCCTTGAACTGTAGCCAGTGTTAAGATATGTGGGGTAGTTTAGTTAGGCAACACACTACCACAGGGGTATTTACAACCAGGGGGGCTCCGCGAATAAATATATTTTTTAAAAGGGATTTTTCCCCAAAATGTTTTTATGAATATCGCTAGCAACAATAGAATAAACACATTTTGAATTCCGTACCTACAGTAGAAAAGAGGAGAATATATTATTTCTAAAGATGTCAACTTTATTTATCAACTCCTAATATTGAGCAAATTACACTCACTTGAGTATCTGACAAAGGCTTTGAAAAAGCACCCGTGAATAGGATTCAATTGGGACAAGTGGTAAGCTGGTAAGCTTTCTTGACTTAGACATTTTTGCCAACACATGGCTAACCTTCTCTTTAGCGAAAATATGTTTGGAGTCCTAGCTAATAGGCGATGTTAGAGTTTACACTTCCTCTTCCAATTATAATGTGGGGAGGTAAAAATAATGAACAATTATCTACCAAATCTATTCATTTTAAAATGTTGATTAGATCTCCTTACCATTATCATTCTCCTGATGATAAGACAATACATGTGAATGAATTGTTTTTGCTAACGTATGATGGGGTTCCCTGGGTCGCCTGTTTGCATGGGAGTGGGTCCCTGGGCAAGAAAAGGTTGAAGACCCCTGCACTACCAGGATACACTTCCACACCCCATCCCCTGGTTGCAGCACCAACCGGGTCAAGGCCGGTGCTCTGCTAGGAAGCCTTCATAAGCACATCAGCTGCAGGCAATTAGGGTGATCGTCAGTCTGTCCCAGCTGGCAGAGCCGTGAGGCTCCTGGTTTGTTTGGAGGCCATGAGGCCTTTCGTTTGGCCTGTTTTTCCTTTTTGTATTTGTATTTTTGTCACCAACTGAACAAATACTAATCTCCTTGGACCAAGAGGTTAGGAAGGAGCTGGTCCTGGACCCCGGGAAGTTTGCTTTTTCCTGGGCACATGTACATAAAACGTGGCCCTCATACTCTGATTTCTCACATAGATGCACATATCAAATCAGGTTACAGACCATGCAACTAGGCCTAAGACCCCTTAACCTCGTCCCCAGGCTCCTGGCACATAGAGCTTCGGAACATTTTGCCTCAAAGTGGGACTTGAAAGGTGTGTGGTTGAAATTGAGGCGGGGGAGGGTGCAAGCCTGCTATAGCTGTATTGGATGGGACTTACATTTATATCACAGCAACAGTGTTGCCATATTGGCGGTTTTCCTGAGAAATTGGGCTACTTTGAAAACAATGTCGCGGGTGAAAATGTATTGGTTGCGGGTTTTTGGGCTATTTCTAAGTTGCACCGCGGCATTTCTCTTAAATGTATCTTTCCCTGTGACCTGCTGCTGACAGTGAGGCAGGCTGTTTATGGTGAGGAGGTCCAGAGGGGTGATCATTTCAGTGATTGAAATTACGACCTCATCCTCTGTAGCCTATTCCAGCAGGCTATTGGGAAACACAAGCACTTCTTACTTCGAAATCGCCTCGCTATTCATGTTGAATAAATGTGTCTGTTAATTTGAACTAAGCAAGCTGCTAAATCGTTCAATTTACATCTTGCCTACATCTTGTCTAGGCTACTGTAGGCTATCTAAAAGAAGATGTAGGCCAATCAGGGGCTATAGGCTACCTGTCTTTAAGCAAACCATGACAAAATGGAGTTACAATCAGAAACCCAGATTTTAGTCTGTAGCTTATGCCTGTTGAAATGACAAGTCAATCTAGCAAATAGGCCATTTATAATGGTTTGTAGTCTTAACACCTGGCACATAAAAGCAGCAGAATTGCCAGAAAATAGCCTAACATTAGTTATTTATGTTCGTCCATGTGTTCAGAGATTTCGAGATCCTCTGTCCAACTTTCGTCACTCAAACTCTCCTGTATAGTTATGCACATGCACAAAGGGGATTTATTTACAGTTATGCACAAATGGGATTTATTTACTGGTTCAAGCCCTGAATGCTGATTGGCTGAAAGCCGTGGTATATCAGACCATATACTGTCCCATGGGTATGACCTTTTTTTTTTTTTACTGTTCTAATTACGTTGGCAACCAGTTTATAATAGCAGTAAGGCACCCCGGGGGGTTGTGGTATATGGCCAATATACCACGGCTAACGGCTGTATCCAGTGTTGCGTCATGCTTAAGATCAGCCCTTAGCTGTGGTACTGTATATTGGCCATATACCATACCCAGTTGTGCCTTATTGCTTAATCATAGCAGTCAAACAAGTGAAATCGACATCCATTGATGGAAAAGGATCTGGCAAGTTTAATAAGGGCGAATGATATTTTCTCTTGCGACATATTCAACTTCCTTTATTACATCATGTCATAGTTCGCAATAATTATTATTTTGAGGAAAATCTAATTTTCCTTCTAACATTGTTACAAGTTACTACGATATTCCTTCTTAATTGACTCGATAACGTTATGGAAAAAGGGTTTATTGTATAAATATGGCAAGTCCTCTATTGCTGTAAAAAAAATAAATGGGGCTAGTTTTCAAGGCCTTTTGGGGGGGTTTTGAGTGGTCATTGGGCTGGAAATTCTATCTAGACCTGGCAACCCTGCACAGCGACCATATTATTTTTTGAACTCACTTCCTTGTTTAGCCCATAGATGCTCAGGCTTTGAAAGTTGTGATGTGATTGATATGATGAGTGCTTCTCTCCACTGTTAAGGTAATCTGATGATCTCCCTTGTGTATAATGACAGTGATCAGTGCGCCCCCGGTGGCCAGGCCTCTGTACTACAGCACCAGCCCAGTAGCAGTGGACCCATCCAGCTGTGGCAGTGTCAGTCCTGCCAGGAAGACTGCCTCTGCTCTGGAACCCAGTCCAGGTAAACACAACAGGCTCTAGACACAGACCTAGGATCAGTTTACCCTCCACAAATTATAATCTTAACCATTAGGCTCATTCATCCCCCCTCCCCTCCCCTGTAACTATTCCCCAGGTCATTGCTGTAAATGACAATGTGTTCTCAGTCAACTTACCTGGTAAAATAAGGGTAATAAAAATAAATATTGTGGCCTTACATCAGTTTCTAGGGGCATCTTGACATATGATCTACCTGTGTAGGTGGGCAGAAGCGGAAGCCATCGGAGCCCCTCCCCCATGAGGAGACTAAGAAGCTCAGGATCGTTGGCGACATCCCCATGGAACTCATCAACGAAGTCATGGCAACCATTACTGACCCGGCCTCCATGCTGGGACCAGAGGTAACATCAAACACTCAGTCAGTCTAACATACAGTCATCAATAATTCCATTGCTTAACACTCTATTCCATCTCAGTTAAAAAACTGTTAGTGCATGGATATTTGATTATGATTGCCCCCCCCCCCCCCCAGTAAGCCAATGTTTTAGAGGCAGTATTATGGAGGTTTGAAGGTAATGATGATGTTGAAGCTACTGCTGCTGCTGCTGATGACGATAATGATGATGGGACACTGCTAAATCAATATTAGTACTGTAATAGGACTTGATGATGAGTAAGGCTGACGTCATCCCTCTCCCCCCCAGACCAGCCTGCTGTCGGCCCACTCAGCCCGTGATGAGGCGGCCCGCCTGGAGGAGAGGAGGGGGGTGATAGAGTTCCATGTCATTGGGAACTCCCTCAACCAGAAGCCCAACAAGAGGATCCTGATGTGGCTGGTGGGCCTCCAGAACGTCTTCTCCCACCAGCTGCCTCGCATGCCCAAAGAATACATCACACGCCTCGTCTTCGACCCGTGAGTGTTACGGTAGAGATGGACCCTGGTTGACCCCAAAGAGAAAAATAGTCCCAACTTTGTAGCACAGAAAGAAAAATATTTATATCTGTAGTCGCCAACCTTTTCTGAGAAGATCACTTTCTAACTCAAAATGCAAGCTGAGCTCTACCTGAGATTTTTTTTAAACATGAGCTTATGCAACATTAACCAATCAAAAACAGTTCTGTAGCATTGAGGTTTGTGCAGTAGGCTATAGGCCCAATACATTATCAATGCATATTGGCTATGCTTGAATTGGCCTGCCAATGTTGTTCTTCTCAGACCATATTGAAATTATATATTTTTTAAATGGGTATATGATCACACTGGTAATAGATCATTTGGTAATAGATCATTTGTTGTATTACTTTAGGCACAGCTGAGTGAGCATAATCATTAGCTTATTTTTTTACTGGCCTGATGGCCTGCATCTGATGGTCAGTCTGAGGGGAGGGAGGGAGCAGCGGTGAGGCTGCCTCTCACCCGAATCACTGTCCCTCCACTCTCCCTCCCTCAGTCTTCCAGCTGATGGCGAAAGTCGCACTGCATTATTTCTGCCTCATGCACCAGTTCATCTTGTTACTCCTATGACCAGAGAAAGTTAAATATTCATTGATATTAAAAAAGACACAAGCTGCTAATAATGACAACGCAAGCTTATCGGTACACTTTGCTATAGTCATTAATTGCAGCTGCAGTGCTGGTTGTAGTGTGAGTGGAAGTAGGGAGAAAGCACATTTGATGGTTTATAAAAGTTTTGAACAAAGTGTTGACAGTGCTGAATAACAACTTAAACAGTAACTTACTCTTTGCTGTATTCGTTGAGTCTCAAGTCAGGTTTTAAATGTTTTGAAATCTCACAGTATCAACTTTGCTGTGCATTCAAGGCTTCTTTTTACAGTCTATGGCTCAAGGAAACTGTGCAGACGCGGTGATCTAAACTATCTGATCTAACTAGCTGAATCAAGTGCACATTCCGACAACGGCACAAAACGAATACCGAAAAAATAAGAATGCATGGCTTTATCGTTGGGTTATTCTGAAATGTTTGGTAATCGACTAGGAATGCCTTGGAGATTGGTGACCACTGCTTTATATGAAGTTGCTCTACAGTTGTAACCAAAATGTAATTACTTGGTTCATAACATTTGACACAGAGAGAGATATGTTACATTACATGTATGTTTGACCCCTCAATGTTGTGGCAACCATTGAACCTTGAACCTGGCCATAGTATGAGTTGTTGAGATGACATTATCATTGAAGTGAATCAGAAAAAGGGAACAATTTACTTCCTCTCCAAACAGGAAGCACAAGACGCTGTCGCTGATCAAAGATGGCCGTGTGATTGGAGGGATCTGTTTTCGGATGTTTCCCTCACAGGGTTTTACCGAGATTGTGTTCTGTGCCGTCACCTCCAACGAGCAGGTCAAGGTACGACACTGCAGCTCTTTTAGCCTGGTCCCAGCTCTGTTTGTACCGTCTTTCCAACTCCTATGGTAATGTTTGACATGACAGTGACCATAGGACTTGGCTATACACAAACAACAGTTCTGGGACCAGGCTACAGTTCCTCTTCTGGTCAAATTTCTGTTGGTCGTTACGGATATGCCTCAGTCTTCTTGATTGGTAAATGTTAACTTTGACCCCTACCTATCGTTTCCAGGGGTATGGCACTCACCTGATGAACCACCTGAAGGAGTACCACATCAAGCACGACATCCTCAACTTCCTCACCTACGCAGACGAGTACGCCATTGGCTACTTCAAAAAGCAGGTCAGTACATGATTGGCTGCTTAAAAAGGTCAGCAAATGGCATTATTGGTTATCTTGCTATGTTAGGGAAACATCAATAAACAGGGTGTCTTTGTGAAATGGACTTCTCTTACAGTTGTCTCTCTCTCTCTCTCTCTCTCTGTCTCTCTGTCTCTCTGTCTCTCTCTCTCTCTGTCTGTGTCTCTGTGTCTCAGGGCTTCTCTAAAGACATCAAGGTTCCCAAGGCCAAGTATCTGGGATACATCAAAGACTATGAGGGAGCGACGCTGATGGGCTGTGAGCTCAACCCCAACATCCCTTACACCGAGTTTTCTGTCATCATCAAGAAACAGAAGGAGGTGTGTGTGTGCATGTGCCTACAAACATGTCTATCTGTATAATACATGAGTTACCTCAATTTTCTCTCTCTTTCTGTCTCCCTCCCTCCCTCTCTCTCTCTCTTTCTGTCTCCCTCCCTCCCCCCCTCTCTCTGTCTCAGATCATACAGAAGCTGATCGAGAGGAAGCAGGCTCAGATCAGAAAGGTCTACCCAGGACTTTCCTGTTTTAAGGAAGGAGTTCGGCAGATTCCCATTGAGAGCATTCCTGGAATACGTTGAGTTTCTCCCCCTGTCATTATATGCCTAATTAGTCTACCTTCAGCAAAGGTTCAAAAGCAAATCTAAAGAGAGGTAGCAGTGAAGTGGGGTAGGAAAGAAGTGTTTGGACAGTGTCTCTAATTTAACTCAGCTCCTCTTTGTCACCAGGAGAAACTGGATGGAAACCGGTGGGCAAAGGGTGGGTCTTTCAGCTCCTTATAGCTGCATCTATTGTGCATACCATTTTAGTAAAAACATTTTTTTAAAATGCTTTCATCGTGGTAACTCTGACAGGAAATTAGGTGATAACAACTTCCCGTTTCCTGTTGTGATCCCAGTAAGGAGCTGAAGGATCCAGATCAGCTGTACAGCACCCTGAAGACCATCTTACAACACGTTAAGGTGAGGGACACATGCACACAACTCGCAGACATGTACGCACAAGCGTGCGCACACATACACACACACAGGTTTCTCACTATGTGTTATGTGTTATAGAGTCACCAGAATGCCTGGCCGTTCATGGAACCAGTGAAGAAGACTGAGGCTCCTGGCTACTACCAAGTCATCCGCTTCCCCATGGGTATGTATTGCACTACATATGGAACACATCTGTGCATGGATCAACTCTTCAGGGGAAGGAATATAGCAGTACATAACTTGTAAGAAAACAAATATGGATAGTTGAATTGAGTATAGTTACCTTAGTCAGAGACAGACACGTAATGGTTAGTGAAGTCATATTGTGTCATGGTTAATCAGATCAGAGTTTGGTTTGGTTTCATTTGATCATTTAGACTAGAGGTTAATCAAGAGTCATGTTAATGTTGTATTGTGTGATTATCTCCAGACCTGAAGACGATGTCGGAGCGTCTGAAGAGCAGGTACTACACCACACGGAAGCTCTTCATGGCCGACATGCAGCGCATCTTTACAAACTGTCGAGAGTACAACCCTCCAGAGAGCCAGTACTACAAGTGTGCCAACCTGCTAGAGAAGTTCTTCTACAACAAGATTAAGGAGGCGGGCCTCATTGAGAAGTGATGGATGGGAGGGGCTTCAAGGGAGATGGACGGGGCTTCAAGAGAGGGTGTGGCTTAGTTCTAAGGATGTCTAAAGGTTTTTATTGTCTTCGTCTTTATCTTTCTACTGTTGTCAACCAGAAAAACAGTTGGATCGGCTATATCCAGTAGGGAGGAGGGTTTTAGGTTCATTAGAATACTCAATATCTGTTGTTCTATCTCTCTCTTCTTCTCTCCATCCTTGTCATACTGCCTCCTCTGGCTTTTACTGGCTTTTATCAGTCTCTGCTTCTCCCTTGCTCCACCTTGTCTTTGTTGAGTCAGGAAAACAGATGTCATGTAGAAACTCCACCTGTACAGCTAACCTAATCCTACATCTGTTCAGAGTCATACTACATGTAGACGTCGCATCTGTGAAAAACTGGACTCTGAGAATATGGGGAGGGATAGTCAGCCAGTTACTGAGCCATTCAGTCTGTCTGTCTCCAGATTGGAGTTACTGGGTTGTAATGGTAGGCTGAAGTTGCCCCTAGACACTGATCCTGGGTCAGTTTTACACTTTCCCTACTAATGGTAACAGTTAGGATTGGGGGATGGGAAGCTGATCCTTGATCTGTACCTAGGGGAAACCTTCACCCAGAGCCATAGTAATCAGTAATCAGTTCTAATTTGTATGTGTGTGTTACCTAACGCGCGTGCCAGTGTACACATGACGTCATGCGAGGTCTGTATCTCCGAATTTATGAGGTAAAAATGTGTATGTATGTTATTAGAGAGTTCATCCTGCCAAAATTTTTTAACATTATATTTCAAATCCGTATGTATACATTAAGTAATTGAAGAGGTTTAAAATAGTTACCTCTTTTAAACCTCTTGAATTACTTAATGTATATTTTTAATGTACTGTATATTTTTCTTTCTTTGTTTTTGAACTGAAAGGAGGGGAAGCCTCTTTTCTTGAAGTTACCCTTCTTGCTTGTCCATGTAAAAAGTCCCATAAGGCTAAAGGTGACCATGGAAATGCACTTATTTATTTTTCAAGCAACTATTCAGCACCACATGGTAAATAAGAGCATTTTTGTTTTCCATCGAGATGTTTTATGTTTTTAAAGAAATGCACGCTATGGCTAATTTAAGTATGTATAGTTTATCCTTATTTATGTGCTGTAACTTAAAGGAATAATGCTTAACAAAAGGTCTTAATTTATTTTGCATAATTATTTCTGTAGCAAATGGAGATTGCTACCTTTGTACTTTGAAGATAAAAGAAAAGAGATTGTGCATCACTCTGTTGTTTTGCTGTTTTATATAAAGATGTTTGTACTTTTTAAACTATAGGAAAAATCTGGATTTTGTAATATATCTGGAAGAGTTATTACATGGCCTTTGTACTGTTGCTTTTAATGCCGTACAGTTATAACCTATTTTATAGACTTATTAAAATAGAAGTGAAATTAATGGATTGGAGTTGTTTTTGCTGCAGTTCACGCTCAAATCTTTGGAAATCTATGTAGAGCAAAAGCCCTGTTTATACATGGCACTAACATGCGTCCTGTAGTTTCCATATTCTGATTGAGCCCACATGTTTAGACCGGTGCAGACGAGTAAAAGAACTGATTGTGATCAGATCTTCCTGACCACCTCTAGAGGTGGGCAGAGCTTAGTGACAGGTCAGTGGGTGGAGTCAATTTTTTAAAAGGCTTGCAAGGGGTGTAGGTTGGAGGGTGTTAAACACAGGTTGAGACACATGGTTGCCAGTTGGAATCCCAGTGCGGCTTTTGTTTTCCAACCTTTGCCAACATACTTTAACAAATCACACTTCTAATCTGACATTCTAAACGATTGAACAACATGGCGCTTCGATTCCCGGGGCCACCGATATGTAAAATGTATGCATGCGTGACTGTAAGGGTTCTATTCAATCCGTTTCGCGGAAGCTCAGCGTTACAGCGTGACTGAAATTGAAAGGCAATGTTCCTTGCATTCACGCTGCGTATGTCAGCTCAATTGGAAATTACCTTTAGATTTCTATCGCGCAACAGTGATAGATTGAATAGAGCCATAAGTCGCTTTGGGTAAAAGTGTCTGCTAAATGGCATATAATTTATTATTATATGAAAGAACAAATTACGGTGCCATCCCCCCTACTGGCCAGATGCCCTTTCTAATACAGTAGTACGAATTTCAAACGTCATTGAGTTTTTAAAGAGACACTTGTCACTTGAGAACCCACCAAAATGGTCATACAACACAGAGGATGGTGGGAGGAGCTATAGGACGGGCTCATTGTAATGGCTGGAGTTGAATATATGGAAAGGTATCAAATATATGGAAACCACGTTTGACTCCATTCCAGCCATTACAATGAGCCCGTCCCACCAGCCTCCAATGATACAACAGGAACACTTGAAATATGGAAACTAGAAATCCACATCCTTATAATGGCCCTGTACACATTCCGTTTGTAGAACTCATGTACAACGCACTTGTCACGATGGTTGTGACTTGTGACATAATTTTTCTGCACAAAAGATAATTACATATGCGTTGTAAAGACATTTTCGTGTAGACAATCTCTCTGTTGTATCACAAAAATAGAAGTTGTATCACAACCATTGTGCCAAATGTGTTGTAAAACCTGAGTGTGTACGGGGCCAATAAAGACTCAGCTGAATAGGAATTATGGACTGAATGTTTATTATAATAAAATCAAAACATGTTACACAGGGGCATGTAGAGAATACATATTCAAAGGTCTTGAAAGGCAAGCTAAATATACATACTGTATGTACAACAGTGAACTGAATACAACCATTGAGGTACATGTTGTTGACATCTTCTCAGACAGAATGTTGATCTTACATTGCCCTCTACAGGTGGATAACAATCCATACAGTCATCGAGCGAGAGAGAACGCATTTTTGGGTGATTTAATTGAATGTCTCCAATGCCCATGATGATTTGGCCAAATTCAGGATACGGATAACAGCATAGTGTGAACAATGAAGAATCTAAAAACAATTAAAGCTGCCCTCCATTATTTCATTGGACAAAAACAGGTGTAAATATGTAAATATTCACAACCAAAAATCCTCTCAAACTAATTTGAATGGGTAAAGCGTGTTCAATGTGAAGACATAGGACATGTCAGCGACATCCCACAAATGACTCATTGTATTTCTCCAACGACAGCTGAATCTTCATGGACTTCCTGGGTTTCTGTTTGAAGATGGGAGAGCGGAGGAACTTGGTGTCTGTGAACTTGTCTCCACGCCTCAGTTTCCTGGCAGACAGGAAATTAAAGAGAGATAGATAAGAGATGGTGAGAAATAATGACTGGCAGGAGCAACACTGGGGCATTACAGAAACAATAGGTTTTTAGCTACTACACTGGTCGTGTAGCTTTTGCCAGCGCAAGTTAGTTCTCGTGCGCAAGCCACGCAGCACTTCTGCTTTCACCCATGGTTCATTTAAATGAATGGGAGCGTGTTACCCTCTGCAAAAGTTACATGTTATCTAAACCAAGAAAGAATTCCACACATTTCAAAAATCCCCCTTGGAATCCCCCTTTCCCTTTAATACTCACGCGTGCAGTGACGGCTCTTTGTAGTCCACTGTCATCGTGGACCGCCTCTTGCGGGCGGGGACGGGGGTGGAGCATCGGTCTGAAGGGCGGGAGCTCTTTAAAGAGAACTTCCGATAGGCTGCAGGGGTAAGATTGGTCACATCACTCAGACTGAAGCCCCGCCCAGCCCTGACACCAAGCCCACCTGTGGTGAGAGGATAAAGTGAGTTGTCAGTGCAGAAAAGTTGGGGAAAATGTATAAAGTTTAGGTAGATATTCTATAGACACCAGTGGACCAGTTGTCCAGACAGAGGTGGAGGAATGAGAAGAGATTCTGATATAGCCAAATAGTGGTCAGAGAAGAAGAACACTGTACATGTTGAACATATATGTGTAATGTGAAAGAATGAGAGGACACTGATTAAGCGTCATTCATTAACATGTCCTAAGCAGCTAACCGGGCTGTACCTGTCCTCCTGCATGTTTTGGGGATGTGTGAGGCGTGGTTCTCGGGGGTGCTGCTGGTCGGTAACCCAGGAGACTCACAGGGGGAGTCCCTGAAACCAGACAGGACGTTGTCGATCCTCATCATCTCCTCCTCCACTCCTGGAGTGACGGGAAGCAGAGCCTCCTCTTCATCTTCTCTGTGGTGCTCTGGAACACCATCATCAATTACCATTTTATACTTGTGTCCCAAATGGCACCCTAATCCCTATATAGTGCACTACATTGGGAGTAAGGTGCCATTTGTGATGAAGCCTCAGTCTATTGCCATGACTATCTACCATTCCAAGCATGTCCACTTACCTGGGTGGCCCTCAAGACCTTGCTCTGCCATTGGACCAGGACTGTCAAAGACACTCCCAGGGGTTTCTGGGAGTTGGAGTTCTGTCTCATAGATCTCAGCGGGCCCAGCTGTGGGACTGGCCTCTACTCTGATGACTGGATAGACACAGGAGATAAGCATCAGATACAACACATAGCCTACCCTTTCCTATAACAGCATGTATAAATCTGTATGTTGTTCATCGCTCACCACGTGACGACTGTCGTTTCAGAGGGGGGACGTTCTCCTTGTCTCTGGCTGCTTTAAGGGGCCGTCCCCTGCGAGCGGGGGTGGGCTTGGCCTGCTCTGGGGGGCCCTGTGTCTTCCGTACGCCACGGCTTTGAGGAACGTAGGGGCTACCCTCTGACTCACACAAGCTGGCCTCCATGGCAACATCCATGGCAACCACAGACAACGGCTGTATCCGAATCGAGCTCTGTCTCTGTCCCCTTTCTGGTTCCTCCTTGAGTTGTTTGTCAAGGACCACAGGGGTGGGACTGACCTCCATTCTGGTTACTAGACACGGGCGATGAACAACTAATTAAACACATACAATAGCTTATGTGGAAATCTATAGAAAAAGCACTCATATCTACAGCTGTCATCATTTTATGTCACCTGGACATGAGGTGAAGATTTCCAGCAATGCTTCAGAGCAACCATCAAGGTACTTGATAAGTGATTGCAAAGACAGTCATCCTAATTGTCTAAGTTAACAGTTAAATGCTCACCATGTGGGGGGGCGTTCTCCTTGTCTGTAGCTGCTTTGGAGGGTTGACCTCTGCCTCTACGAGCGAGGGCGGGCTTGGCCTGGTCCGTGTGGCTCCGTCTCTTCCGTTTCTGAGGAACGTAGGGGCTGTCTTCTGACTCAGAAGACGAAGATGAACTAGACTCAGGTGACAACTGAGTCCTCTTCGGGTTCTGTCCCTGTCCCGTCTCTACCACCTTCTCCTGTTTGGGTGTGTCTCGGGGGTTATCCTTGGGTCCGCCACCCTTGAAGGGGGTGAGGTGTACCCCATCCTCGCAGTCGAAATCAAAGGTGTCATTGAATCCCTGAGATGTGTTGAGGGAGGTGTTGAGAGGTGCAGCGGATCCCACCCCGGCTCTGGACCGTGTGGCAGAGCGGTCCCGGCTCTTGGACCGGGCTCTGGGTTTAGAGGTCTCCCAGGGTTTCTTCAGAGGGGGGCGGTCCGGTTTGCGGCCCCTCTCTGGCTTGCGTGCAGCTGGTTCGGGTTTAGGCCGCGGTGGCTGGGCCTGTTTCGGTTTGTTCCGGGGTTGCTGCTGCTGATTGGCTGGTTTAGCCGGGGGCTCTGGGGTGAAGTGCTGCTGGAACTCCTCTGAGCCAATCGGATTGCCTCTCTCCATCTTCACTTCCTGTATGTGGTTCTGGCCTCTGTCGTTTAGAACCAGGCTATCCACTATGACCTCAGTCTCTTTCTGTTTGAGAGGTTCTGGAGGGGCGCTGGGGTTCTGCTCATAGAACGAGGAACGGCGCCCTTCCCGCACACGCTCAGATCGCATCCTGCTGCCTTCCACCCGGCGACGTCTCACACCCACTGTCTGTGGCAACGCCACCTGCCTGTCACTTTTGTTTTTGCCCGCCCCTTCAGGAAACTGACACGCTGAGAGAGGAGAATGGATGTCATTGTCAACACTTGCAACGACATGGATGGTTCATTAAAAGTGACACATCCTAACACACATGCACAATAACATTATTGTCGTTGTTTTCTGTGTAATTATCCAAAGTAACAACATCACAATTCTGGAGTGAAAGGCCTAACAGTTAAAATCTGTTAAGAATGGTTTGTCTGGTAAATGTTATTTCATATACCTGAGCTGATGGGTGAGAGAGGGAACTCGTCCATCACAGGATCTTCCAGATCAGCACGGCTTTGAATTCTCCTGCACAAAAGGAACAAAAAAGGGAAACGTTTGAAATTCCAGGGAGGAATTGATGACATTCACAAGGTGACAGGAGATGGGATGAATCACACTGGACATTAAACAGTGGCTCTTTGAATGTGAGAAATGATGCATTCAGTTGATATTATATTTGAATAGCTCACCTGGAGGAGTCCACTGGCTTTGGTGGTTCAGCAAGGAGCTGTGCAGGTCCAGTCTAAACACACACAAATATCATGAACAAGGGCAGAGGGGGAAGGGCACAACTTTCTGTGATGAAAAGCTCCCATAGCGGTTACTCAGTTTGACTCAAACAGTCATTCAGGCAGCTTCATACCTGTACATTGCTGGCCTGCGCCTCCTGGTCTTTGAGCCTCTTCTTGAGCAGGAGGAGGTGGAGGAAGAGGGCCTGCTGCTCCCTCTTCATCTGCAGGATGATACAGTTGGCCTGCCTCACCTTCTCCTTCTCAGCCTGCAGGGCCAGAGCCAGGGCTTTGTTATTGATCTGCACGTTCTTCAGGATAACTGGCTTCACGTTGCCCGCTGTAGAGACAGAGGGAGCAAGCTGAGATATACTCCTCTTCAAAAGGTTAACCGCCATATGAGGTGAGAAATTGCTAGCTAGATAATTAGTAGGCAATAGTAGGCATAGCTACGTCCAATTGACCAGAATTTAGGTTGTTAACTATCATGATGCTTAAGTTTACATTACCATCTTCAACATGATACTGGCTGGCATATTATGTGAATCTCTCACCACTGGTTCTGTTGATCCTTTTGGACCGTCCTCTGTTGGCTACAGAGGCACTTGCCAGGCGTTTGTTCCTCTTCTCAATCATCTTTTCCTTGATGTCGTCCAGGCTTTGCTGGAAAGACTTCTTCTGGCCCCGTTCCCTCACCATGGTTGAAAGTAACTGGCAGGATCACTACCAGAAGGCGAGAGAGCGTGACAATTAGTCCAGTGTCTACGTTAGAACAGGGCTCCGGGCAGCCGAGCGGAAATGGAGGAATACTAGACTCCCTGCGGACCTGTCATCTTTCCACTCCCTCCTCTCTACATTCCTCTGTTTCTGCAGCTAAAGCCACTTTCTACCACTCTAAATGTCAAGCCTCTGCCTCTAACCCTAGGAAGCTCTTTGCCAACTTCTCCTCCCTGCTGAATCCTCCTCCCCCTCCCTCTCTGTGGATAACTTTGTCAACCATTTTGAAAAGAAGGTTGACGACATCTGATCCTCATTTATTAAGTCAAATGACACAGCTGTTCCTGCTCACACTGCCTTACCCTATGCTTTGACTTCTTTCTCCCTCCAGATGAAATCTTGCGACTTGTGACGGCCGGCCGCCCAACAACCTGCCTGCTTGACCCTATCCCCTCCGCTCTTCTCCAGACCATTTCCGGAGACCTTCTCCCTTACCTCACCTTGCTCATCAACTCATCCTTGACCGCTGGCCATGTCCCTTCCATCTTCAAGAGAGCGAGAGTTGCACCCCTCTTCAAAAAACCTACACTCGATCCCTCCGATGTCAACAACTACAGACCAGTATCCATTCTTTCTTTTATCTCCAAAACTCTTGAGCGTGCAGTCTCTAGCCAACTCTCCTGCTATCTCTCTCAGAATGACCTTCTTGATCCAAACCAGTCAGTTTTCAAGACTGGTCATTCAACTGAGACAGCTCTTCTCTGTGTCACGGAGGCTCTCCGCACTGCTAAAGCTAACTCTCTCTCCTCTGCTCTTATCCTTCTAGACATATCTGCTGCCTTTAATACTGTGAACCATCAGATCCTCCTCTCCACCCTCTCCGAGTTGGGCGTCTCCGGCGCGGCTCACTCTTGGATTGCGTCCTACCTGACAGGTCGCTCCTACCAGGTGGTTGTGGCGAGAATCTGTCTCCGCACCACGTGCTCTCACCACTGGTGTCCCCCAGGGCTCAGTTATAGGCCCTCTCCTATTCTCTCTATACACCAAGTCACTTGGCTCTGTCATATCCTCACATGGTCTCTCCTATCATTGCTACGCAGACGACACACAATATATTTTCTCCTTTCCCCCTTCTGATAACCAGGTGGCGAATCGCATCTCTGCATGTCTGGCAGACATATCAGTGTGGATGTCGGATCACCACCTCAAGCTGAACCTCGGCAAGACGGAGCTGCTCTTCCTCCCGGGGAAGGACTGACCGCTCCATGATCTCGCCATCATGGTTGACAACTCCATTGTGTCCTCCTCCCAGGGTGCAAAAGAACCTTGGCGTGACCCTGGACAACACCCTGTCGTTCTCCGCTAACATCAAAGCGGTGACCTGATCCTGCAGGTTCATGCTCTACAACAGGGATGTCAATCATACGGCCCGCGGGCCAGAACCGGCCCGCCAGATGGTTCAATCCGGCCCGCGAGACGACGTCCACTATTTTTTTTTAAAAGAACAGATATTCCAAATTTGTCCAGCAGAGGTCGCACTGAAATAACGAGAGATCCTGAAATAAACAGCACGTGACAGCAACGCGCCCAGAATGCGCTATCTGCCGATCTTGCCTTATCGTTATTAAGCTCTTGTTGTCAAAATTACCCACTGTTGCACCCACATTACGAAAATGTCTTTCTCAAAAAGGAGAAAAGTTGACACAGAGTGCAGAGTTTTCCAAGAAAAATTGTCTGATTCATATTTATTCACAGAAGTGAATTGGTGTGTAATCAGCAAGTTTCAGTGCTCAAGGAATATAATATTCGGCGCCACTATGAGACTCATCATGGTGAAAAATACAACCATTTACGAGGACAACTGAGAATAGAGAAGATAAATGAATTGTTAGTGGGTCTGAAGAAACAGCAGTCTGTTTTTACCCGTAGCCGAGAGGTCAGTGATGCAGCGGTGAAAGCTAGCTACCTTATTGCTAATGAGATAGCGTTAGGATCCAAGCCATTTTCTGAGGGTGAGTTCGTGAAAACATGCATGCTGAAGGCTGCAGAAATTGTGTGCCCTGAAAAGCGACAGGCCTTTGCCAACATTAGCCTAACGAGAAACACTGTCGCAGATAGAATTTCAGATCTCTCGGCAGACTTGGAGAGCCAAATGAATCACAAAGTCAAGTCATTTGTTGCATTTTCGGTTGCAATTGATGAGAGCACTGATATTACAGATGTTGCTCAACTGGCCATATTCATTCGTGGTGTTGATGCGACTTTGACAGTCACCGAGGAGTTCCTTGGGTTGGTACCTATGACGGACACTAAAACAGCGGATGACATTATGAGCTCTCTCGTTGGAGCGCTGGACAGATGGTGCGCCATCAATGATTGGGAGAAAAGCAGGCGTTGTGACAAAATTCAGAGATAAAGTACAGGCCGCAAATGAAGGACAAGAGTTTTGGACATTTCACTGTATTTTGCACCAGGAAGCATTGTGTTGCAAATCATTAAAAATGGATCATGTCATGGAGGTGGTTGTCCGCACTGTTAATTTCATCCGAGCAAGAGGTTTGAATCACCGTCAGTTTGACAGTCTTCTCAGTGATAAAGACATTACGCATGGCTTGCCATACCACACTGAAGTACGGTGGTTAAGCCGAGGTGCCGTGCTGAAGCGTTTCTTTGAGCTACGAGAGCAAATTGAACAGTTCATGGAGAAAAAAGGCAAACCAGTGAAGGAACTTAAATGCCCAGAATGGGTGCAGGATCTTGCCTTTCTGGTGGATATTACAGAGCACCTGAATAATCTTAACAAAATGTTGCAGGGCCGCAAAAAAGTTGTCACTCAGTATTATGACAGCATACGCGCATTCAAGTTGAAACTGTCACTCTGGGAGACACAACTATCTAGCGGTGACACCGCTCATTTCCCTTGTCTAAGAGATGTGCGTGCGACCGGACTTAATGCTGACATGGCTCAATACAAAGACAAGATTACAGGATTGCTGCGGGAGTTTGAGCGACGGTTTCAGGTCTTCGGTGAACTTGAGACAGAATTTACCATTTTTTGCTCGCCATTCACAGTCAAGGCTTCTGATCTGCCCGCTGACATCCAACTCGAAATAATTGACATGCAGTGTGCAGTGTGATTCAGGTATGAAGGACAAATTTGCCTCTGTGGGCTTGGACACATTTTATCAGTATCTCTTGCCAGGGTGCCCCAAATTAACAGCCCTGGCTGCAAAGGTTTTATGCATGTTTGGGACTACCCATCTTTGTGAACAGGTTTTCTCTGTAATGAACATCAATAAAACAAAGCTGCGCTCAAGGCTAACACACAAGCACTTAAATGACATTATGAAATTGGCTGCTACTCAGGATTTGACACCTGATATTGATGCAATCGTGAAGGCTAAAAGATGCCAAGTTTCAGGAGCAGCCGGTAGGCCGCAGTGAGAGAAAGAGAGGGGAGGGGGTTAAACAGCGAGTAGGTCAAGTCTAATTGTAAGACTTGTAATGCTCTTTAAGAGACGTTTTGCACTCTGAAGAATACAGTTCTGTGAAAAAATAACATTTACTGTGGTAATGTAATATTTAAAGACCATGAACATTGTGATAACGTTCTTCATAGCTCCCACTTTAGTTTGTGCATAGTGTGGTGAGTCAGTTCAGGTGGTCAGAATGTATACTGTACATTAAAATAAGTTAAGTTAATAAGTTAATAAAACAAGTTGTTTTAATTAAAGTGAAATGCCATTTTTTCAGTTCCATAGGCCTATCTGTGAATAAATGTTTTGTGCCTTTGTAGATCCACTGTGATCTGTGAGTTATAATGCACATATGTAGGCTAAATGATAAATTAAGGCATAATATTGAAAAACAAAGGTAAAGATTTGGAGTTGACGTTATTTATAGGTTATTTTGCTATTATTTTACTGGCCCGGCCCACTTGAGATCAGATTGCGCTATATGTGGCCCCTGAACCAAAATGAGTTTGACACCCCTGCTCTACAACATTCGCAGAGTACAACCCTACCTTACACAGAAAGTGGCACAGGTCCTAATCCAGGCACTTGTCATCTCCCGTCTGGATTACTGCAACTCGCTGTTGGCTGGGCTCCCTGCCTGTGCCATTAAACCCCTACAATTTATCCAGAACGCTGCAGCCCGTCTGGTGTTCAACCTTCCCAAGTTCTCTCATGTCACCCCGCTCCTCCGCACACTCCACTGGCTTCCAGTTGAGGCTCGCATCTACTACAAGACCATGGTGCTTGCCTACGGAGCTGTGAGGGGAACGGCACTTCCTTACCTTCAGGTTCTGAAAAGACCCTACACCCAAACGAGGGCACTACGTTCATCCACCTCTGGCCTGCTAGCCCCCCTACCTCTACGGAAGCACAGTTCCCGCTCAGCCCAGTCAAAGCTATACACTGCTCTGGCACCCCAATGGTGGAACAAGTTCCCCCATGACAGCGGAGTCACTGACCACCTTCCGGACACTTGAAACCCTACCTCTTTAAGGAATAGTATAAAAGTAATCCTTCTACCCCCCCCCCCCCCCAAAAAAAAAAAGTGGTTGTCCCACTGGCTATCATAAGTTGAATGCACCAATTTGTAAGTCGCTCTGGATAATAGCGTCTGCTAAATGACATAAATGTAAAATGTTAGAACCCGGCCTCAAGGTTGAATGTTGTTGTTGATCCGCTACGCTAGCTACTCCGCTAGCAGAGTCTCCATTGCTAATACGTGGAATAAACTGCGTAATATCACATATACCGACGTTTTAAATGTTGACTTACCTCCTCGGTTATAAACAGTAGAGTGAAATCTAATTCAAATCTGCGTATTTCACAAGGAATTCTAACAACGTGGTCAAATAACTAGCCACAGATCCGTTCTCAACTTGTTAACTTTCGAATTCTGCGCTGCGAGTGCTGATTGGTGGGAACTGGGACGCGTCATTTCCTATCATCTGAAATGCATAACTTTATTTTTCCACTAGGTGACACCAGAGCAATGTTTCTCTCTCTCTCTTCTCTCTCTCTCTCTCTCAATTCAATTTCAATTCAATTTAAGGGCTTTATTGGCATGGGAAACATATGTTAACATTGCCAAAGCAAGTGAAGTAGATACTAAACAAAAGTGAAATAAACAATAAAAGTTAACAGTAAACATTACACTCAGAAGTTCCAAAAGAATAAAGACGTTTCAAATGTAATATTATGTATATATACAGGGTTGTAACAATGTGCAAATAGTTAAAGTACAAATGGGAAAATAAATAAACATACAGTTAAAGTCGGAAGTTTACATACACTTAGGTTGGAGTCATTAAAACTCGTTTTTCAACCACTCCACAAATTTCTTGTTAACAAACTATAGTTTTGGCAAGTCGGTTAGGACATCTACTTTGTGCATGACACAAGTAATTTTTCCAACTATTGTTTACAGACCGATTATGTCACTTATAATTCACTGTATCACAATTCCAGTGGGTCAGAAGTTTACATGTGCCTTTAAACAGCTTTGAAAATTCCTGAAAATGATGTCATGGCTTTAGAAGCTTCTGATAGGCTAATTGACATAATATGAGTCAATTGGAGGTGTACCTGTGGATGTATTTCAAGGCCTACCTTCAAACTCAGTGCCTCTTTGCTTGACATCATGGGAAAATCAAAAGAAATCAGCCAAATTGTAGACCTCCACAAGTCTGGTTCATCCTTGGGAGCAATTTCCAAATGCTTGAAGGTACCACGTTCATCTGTACAAACAATAGTACGCAAGTATAAACACCATGGGACCACGCAGCCGTCATACTGCTCAGGAAGGAAACGCGTTCTGTCTCCTAGAGATGAACGTACTTTTGTGCGAAAAGTGCAAATCAATCGCAGAACAACAGCAAAGGACCTTGTGAAGATGCTGGATGAAACCGGTACAAAAGTATCTATATCCACAGTAAAACGAGTCCTATATCGACATAACCTGAAAGGCTGCTTAGCAAGGAAGAAGCCACTGCTCCAAAACCGCCATAAAAAAGCCAGACTACGGTTTGCAACTGCACATGGGGACAAAGATCGTACTTTTTGGAGAAATGTCCTCTGGTCTGATGAAACAAAAATAGAACTGTTTGGCCATAATGACCAGCGTTATGTTTGGAGGAAAAAGGGGACTTGCAACCCGACGAACACCATCCCAACCGTGAAGCACGGGGGTGGCAGCATCATGCTGTGGGGGTGCTTTGCTGCAGGAGGGACTGGTGCACTTCACAAAATAGATGACATCATGAGGAAGGAAAATTATGAGGATATATTGAAGCAACATCTCAAGATATCAGTCAGGAAGTTAAAGCCACACACAAAAAATGTCACACACAAAAAATGTATGCACGCATGATTGTAAGTCGCTTTGGATAAAAGCGTCTGCTAAATGGCATATTATTATTATTATTATTATTATAAAGCTTGGTCGCAAATGGGTCTTCCAAATGGACAATGACCCCAAGCATACTTAAGGACAACAAAGTCAAGGTGTTGGAGTGGCCATCACAAAGCCTTGACCTCAATCCTATAGAAAATGTATGGGCAGAACTGAAAAAGCATGTGCGAGCAAGGAGGCCTACAAACCTGATTCTGTTACACCAGCTCTGTCAGGAGGAATGGGCCAAAATTCACCCAGCTTATTGTGGGAAGCTTGTGGAAGGCTAGCAGAAACGTTTGACCCATGTTAAACAATTTAAAGGCAATGCTACCAAATACTATTTGAGTGTATGTAAACTTCTGACCTACTGGGAATGTGATGAAAGAAATAAAAGCTGAAATAAATCATTCTCTCTACTATTATTCTGACATTTCACATTCTTAAAATAAAGTGGTGATCCAAACTGACCTAAGACAGGGACTTTTTACTAGGATTAAATGTCAGGAATTGTGAAACTGAGTTTAAATGTATTTGGCTAAGGTGTATGTAAACTTCCGACTTCAACTGTAAATATTGGTTGTATTTACAATGGTGTTTGTTCTCCACTGGTTGCCCTTTTCTTGTGGCAACAGGTCACAAATATTGCTGCTGCGATGGCACACTGTGGTATTTCACCCAGTAGATCTGTGTAATCTGAGGGAAATATGTGTCTCTAATATGGTCATACATTTGGCAGGAGGTAAGAAAGTGCAGCTCAGTTTCCACCTCATTTTGTGGGCAGTGTGCACATAGTCCTGGATGGCAGGAAGCTTGGCCCCAGTGATGTACTGGGCCGTACGCACTACCCTCTGTAGTGCCTTGCGGTCGGAGGCCAAGCAGTTGCCATACCAGGCGGTGATGCAACCAGTCAGGATGCTCTCGATGGTGCAGCTGTAGAATGTTTTGAGGATCTGAGGACCCATGCCAAATCTTTTCAGTCTCCTGAGGGGGAATAGGCTTTGTCGTGCCCTCTTCACGACTGTCTTGGTGTGTTTGGACCATGATAGTTCGTTGGTGATGTGGACACCAAGGAACTTGAAGCTCTCAACCTGTTCCACTACAGCCCCGTCGATAAGAATGGGGGCGTGCTCAGTCCTCTTTTTTTTTCCTGTAAGAGGGCTGTAAAACGGCAGCCATCTTCTCCGGCGCCATATGACATTTCAAATGTCATATTATGTCTATATACAGTGTTATAATGATGTGCAAATAGTTAAAGTAGAAAAGGGAAAATAAATAAACATAAATATGGGTTGTATTTACAGTGGTGTTTGTTCTTCACTGGTTCCCCTTTTCATGTGGCAACAGGTCACAAATCTTGCTGCTGTGATGGCACAATGTGGTATTTCACCCAATAGATATGGGAGTTTATCAAAATTGAATTTGTTTTGTAATTCTTTGTGGGTCTGTGTAATCTGAGGGAAATATGTGTCTCTAATATGGTCATACATTTGGCAGGAGATCAGGAAGTGCAGCTCAGTTTCCACCTCATTTTGTGGGCAGTGTGCACATAGCCTGTCTTCTCCTGAGAGCCAGGTCTGCCTACGGCAGCCTCTCTCAATAGCAAGGTACTCTCTCTCTCTCTCTCTCTCTCTCTCTCTCTCTCTCTCTCTCTCTCTCTCTCTCTCTCTCTCTCTCTCTCTCTCTCTCTCTCTCTCTCTCTCTCTCTCTCTCTCTCTCTCTCTCTCTCTCCTCCCTTTCTCCATCTCTCTCTCTCTCTCCCATAAATAGTCATTCCTTACTGCTCAGGCTCAATAAACCTTCCAGAAATAATACATTCAATTAAATATCAAGTCGTGATCTCATTTACTTTCCGCTGCATGAGTCAAATGGAGCAATTTTATCTTGACACACAGAGAAACACTCATTTTTCTACATGGCAGCAGGGAACTTAAACAGACACACCTATGGTGAGTCAGGAGGAGCTTGGCATCAATCAGGTCCAAGTAAACATCCAAGACATTGAAAGGACTGACAAGAGAGTGGTTCAATGCTAGGGTGGGTTAGCAATAAAGGTGTTGTAAGGGATACACTTCCCTGCCAGTTCACCATTACCTCAGTCAGCGCTCACAAAGCAGTGTAGCATCCAGAGATGCATGTTCTAGGCTATAAGTCAGATGTCTGGCTCACAGATTTTCAATGATGATGTTGCACTTAGGGTATATTGTGGTGGAAGGGAGAGGTGGCAATCCTCTGTGGACATTGAATGTGCATGGATATGAATGTTCACCACATTGGGCAATAGGGATTCCACGCACTGTAACTACTTTCACAACAACATTATGTATCTTCACAGATCATACATTATCTTCACGTCATTGCTTAGCCACCCTTTACACAACAAACTCACAACACAACCAACGCTACCCATTCCATTAGACGTCATCTTATTGCAGAGGAGACATTGCTGTAATTTTCCTTAAAGGCCATGTAAATGTTATGGCTGCCACATTCACTGTCACAGCGGGAGACCACATTCACTGTCACAGCGGGAGACCACATTCACTGTCACAGTGGGAGACCACATTCACTGTCACATGGGTCCGGGTCTGGGTATGCAGCTGTGTTTACTGCTATCAGTCTTCTCCTCAATGCCACTACTGATTATTATAATGGCAGATGACTGGAGATGTTGATTATCATAAAAACAGGGGAGAGGAGTAAACAAACTGATTGATTGGCCCTGCCTGAATGACTGACTGACTGATGACTGGCTGACTGGCTGACTGGCTGACTGGCTGACTGGCTGACTGGCTGACTGGCTGACTGAGAGACTGACTGACTGACTGACTGGTTGACTGGTTGACTGACTGATTGACTGGTTGACTGACTGATGTGAGCGAGTTCTGACATGGACACTAGAGGTGTTTCACACATCAGAGAGTGGAATCAATCAATCAGTCAATCCATCCATCCCTATCCATCCATCCCTATCCATCCATCACTGTTTAGTAGAAGACACCAATGAAGACAAGTCATAACACCAGACGGGTCCATCTCAGCAAATCAGAGCACAGCGTTGCTCTAGAGTCTAGCCAGTGATCAGGCCAGTTTGGAGCTCCCCCTCCCACCAGATGAAATTCATTAGCTGTAATCTCTGCTCCCCCTCCCCAGAGCAAAAAACGTAACCCAACATTTAATGTGGAAAATGTGGAGAGCCAAGCACAACATTTCTGATAATTAAATCATAATGCAGGGAGAGCATTCAGCCCCAAAGCAAACACTTAAAGAGAAACAACCCTGAAAATCTGGGGTTATGGTTTGTCCATTTTAGACAGACGCCTTTCTCTAACACAGTTGAGGTGAGCTGTCTGTTGCTCCTTTATACAGAAGAACAATGTTCAATCGGACATCGCTGCATCACAATAGCATTGCTTTACCTAAATCATAATGGAGCAACACTAACAATCTAACGTTATAAAAGAGGCTCTGTAACCTGATCTCAGAGCTACAGTATCAACAT